GGGGGGGGGGTTGTTTAAACACACAGTTAGTTTTTTATTTTGGGTGCCTTGGGTAATTCTTAAGATCTTAAAATTTTTACACTTAATATGAAATGTTTCCAGCATAGCTTCTGATCAGTATGGAAATGTTCTTTAGGCACTGTGAGGTGTATTAACAATAGAGCATGACGCAGGATGAAGTGTACAATCTGACTCTAACTACCAACAATACGAGTTACCTGCAGATGGCAAGAAATGCCTTCAGTCCACTACTGCTCCTGATATTCCTGTCTCGAGGAAAACCTTAATTCCATAAACAATCTATAAAATGATCCAAAAAGGTAATTTTAAGAACTGCACACACAGGGTATTGAAACCTGCTCTCTTCTGTAAGGCATCAATTATCAATGAATAGGATGCAAATGGTTACCACTCAAAATCATAAAGCCATTTATCTTTTAAACCTCGCCAATTCCTGCTACTTTTACCAGATTAAATAAGAAAAGGTGGCCTTTTGGCCTAATCAACTATGTTTATAAAAAAAACTAAGATATCTAAAACTATTACGCACATCAAAGGTACGGTTTATGTAGTTCAAGATTCCCTTCTTAAGGGGCAAATGAGTCACCTGCCTGCACATCATACATAAGGAACTATAAAGATCATCCACTAAAGTCAACTTTCACATTTTTAGTCAAACTGAAAGACTTAGAATAAATATGCAAACATACCATATCTTCAGTTACAACTGAATTAAGTGTAACATTTTACCAGAGAAAAAGTTGGAATGGGAGTCTGAGACACCTTTATACACTGTGCTAGTATTAAAGCCAGTCATCAATACTTTCAATACAGCAGGTTAGAAGGTATACATCCAAAATGGTGACTTGGTTGTAGTCCCTAGTTTAGCAATTCAATGCCACTGGCATCATAATGATGGGAAACAAAGCTCTGTGGTTTAGTGCAATTTGTCTTTCTTCTTTCCTATTAAGGGTACTTTGTTGACCACAGCCCACCCAACAGCTGAAACACCTCCAGCCACAGCAGACACATCCCCTTTCACCAGCCCTATTCCCATGGACGGTACAGTTGTGACTGTAGTTTTGGTCACCTCCAGACTCTTTCCACCAATCCAAGCCACACCACCAATGGTGGCTCCAACGGCTCCCTTTGTAACACTGAAGACACCCCCAGTCACACAGGACAACATGCCTGGTTGTTGCTGTGGATGGTCTTTCATTGAACCTTTTGGTGGTTCATCACTAAGGTATGATGGGATTTCTTGTTGGTTTTTATCTGCCTGATTTATATTCTCTACTGGGCCAGGGACTGAAAGGAGGGTATGGGCAGCTCCGAGGAGGGTCAGGCGGCTCGGACAGCCCCAGACAGTATCATAACTAGAAGCTTGAATGTTGTTCTTCAGTTCTTTCAGCTTGAGAAATACTGAACATGATTTTCATTTTGGGTTTTCTAATTTCATGTCTCTGGTAGACTTTTCATTGTCTTCTTGAGTTCTCCTTTGAAATCTCATCAGCTGTTTTACGTCATCATTAATTAATTCTATTTGCTTTAGGTACTCTATGTTCAAGAACAAGTATTAGAGTCTCGTCGGACACCCATTTTCGTCTTTTTCTCTCTTTCCTGTCTTGTTGATGACCTTTTGGTTTCTTTATGTATGATGTCCTTGATGTCACCCCTCAAATAGTGTGGTATTTGTTTATGAATGTTCAATGGTCTAAATCTGTTCTTGAGATGGCCTCTAAATTCTGGTGGGATGTACTCAATATAGTATTTTGATTCTTGTGGACTTGTTTTATGTTCACTTTCAACTTCAATTTGCATATGAGTAATTGATGAGCTTCACAGTTGGCCCTTGACCTTATTCTGACTAATGATATTGAGCTTCTCCATCATCTCTTTCCACAGACATAGTCAATTTGATTCATGTGCATTCCATGGAGCAATGCCCACATGTACAGTTGGTATTCACATTCTTTAAAAAAGGTATTTGCAATTAGTAAGTCTGTGCTAGGAAAAGTCTATCATGCAATCTCAAGTGTAATTTCTAACATCAAATATCCATTCTTTTTTGTTTCCATCTTTCACATTCCAAACACCTATAATTATAATGCATTTTGATAGCATCCTTGATCAATTTCACACTTCAGAAGTGGTAAAAACCACCAATTTCTTCATCTTTGGCCTTAATGGTTGGTGAGTAAATATGAGTAATAGCTTTATTAATTTTTCTTGTAGGTGTATGGATATCATCCTACCACTGACTGTGTTGTACTCCAGGATAGATCTGGAAATGTTCTTTTTGATAATGAATGTTATGTGATTATTCTTTAATTTTTCATTCTAAGCAAGTAGACTATATGATTGTCCAGTTCAAACTGGCTAATCCTATTCTATTTCAGCTCACAAATACCTAGGATGTTTCTGTGTTCCAGCTCTCTCTTCGGTTTAAAGCTTTGGTGTGATTTTTTTTTTTTATCTCTCTTTATTTTGAATTCATGAAGGTTTACAGAACAGAACAGTTTTCTAATCAACACATTTTATTTCAACTCATTGATTCAATCCACACTATGTAACCTCACTTATCCCAGTTTCTCCCTGTGTTTCCTGTTTCCAACTCTCTTTATTTTCTTACCCTTTTGAGCTTTGCCCTTGGACAAATTCTCACTTTTTAATCTCAAATGAGTGATTATTATAAATTGTGTGTACCTCCCCAGTGTTATTGTTTCCCCTATAGACCTGCCTATTATTTGGCTGAAAATTGAGCCAGGGGAATGAGTTCATTTCCAGACCTGATGGTTACTTTAAATGATAGTTTCAAGGGTTCTAACGATTTGCTATGTCGCCTGTAAAGCTGTTTTGATTTTTCTTCTTTTTGTTTTTGAATTTTGTTCTGCTTTTTTCTCCCACTTTAACCAGGACCTTCTAATATGACCCCATTCAGAACAGTTGGCAGTAGTAGCCAGACACCACCTTGTTCTTCTGGTGTCAGTGTTTTAGGGATTAAGGTTCATTGGTATATGTCTTCAATTTTCTTCACTCTTCGCTCTAGACAGGTAAAAACCATTGCAGGAGTGTGTATATAACAGTATTTGCTTTTGTTGCTCTTAACTCTTACACTACCCCTACTCTCTTTCCATGCCTCCATCGTTTTTGCTGATGTCACTCACGTTACATATTGTCTTTTCCTTTATCCGAGTTAATATAACTACTCTCTAGTTAGTAATTTAACCTCCTTCTACTTACCCCCACCACTGGTAACCATGAAAGAATATTTATTTTTATATGAAAACCTTTTCTTGGCTTTTTATAATAGTGCTTGCATATAGTATTTGCCCTTTTTGATTTACTAGTTTCACTCAGCCTGAGGTTTTCCAGGTTCATAAATGTCATAAGGTACTTTACAGGTTAATCATTATTCTTTAATGTTGTGTAGTATTCCATTATGTATATGTACCATAGTAGTTTATCCATTCTTTCACTGATAGAGATTTAAACTGTTTCCATCTTTTTGCTCTTGTGCATAGTGTTCCAGTAAGCATGGGTGTACATGTATCCATTTCATTTTTGACTATTTATAATTTTCCTAGATTCATACTTCATACAATCCATGTTCTGATTATTAATGAATGTTTGCAGTTCTTTCTTTTCATTTTGATTCATTTCCCATCAGCAAATGAAGGTCCTGAAAGCTTTACTCCATCCACCTTATTAAGGTGACTCTACTTGGAAAAGGCAGATCTTCCCCAGTTGTATTGTGAGTGCCTTCCAATCTGAGGGGCTCTTCTTTTGGCATATATCAAATAATGTTTCATTGTTAATCATAAGCTTTTCACTGGCAAGTTTTTTAAGATGCAGATTGCCATGTACTCCATCTTAGTGTGGAAGATCTCCTGAAATCGATCTATCATTGGTGACCCTGCTGGTATTTGAAATAATGGTGGCATAGCTTTCAGCATCACAGCTACATGGAAGCCACATAAACCCTGTACAGGGTCGCTATGAGTTGGAACCGACCCCACAGCACATAACAACAACAATGACAACATAAGTCAGAACTGACTTAATGGCACTTAACAACAACAAATTAAAATAATTAAGAATGCAGATATATGAACAGAAAAATATTAGCATACCATTTAGGGCACTTAGCCTGAATTTTATTTTTCTTGGTATTTGGGGACAAAATAGAGATATTCGGGGGAATTTGAACTTTAACATCATTATTCCTATTCACTTGAGAAAAAAAAAAAATTCTTTCAAGAGGAAAACAAAATTTTGTGCCTTGTATTTGTTCACTCATTCTTTTTGTTTCAACTTTTATGTAAGTGCTATACTAGGTATTGGAGATATATGGCTGTGGATAATAATAATTATTATTATTTGAGGGATCTTCTGAAAGTTAATAGAAAATACATATTATAAAAATCTATGGGAGAACAAACAAGATGGCGGATCGGGTAGATGTATAGCAGAGAGCTCTGCCAACAACAACACAGAATACCCTAACAAGCAGGCTCAGGGGATAGTCCCAGAACTCTGAACCACATATAAAGGAATACTTAGAATGTTGGAAGGCTTACAGCTGGGGGAATTTGTGGCAGAAACAAGAAATCTATTGCTTTCTAGTCCAGGATGCTCAGCTGCTCCAGGAGCCGCCATCTTGGGTGAGACCACGTGGAGAAAATATCGGAGCTGCCACAGACGCCTGGCAGAACTGCAGAGATAAAGGTGTGGACATTCTTCTCTTTTGGTAGCTGTTCATTGGTCCCTCGCTGTCTGCACACCTCCATTCTGGTGACTATAGGGGTGCCTGAGCTAGTGGGCACCCCAGCCCCA